CCGATTTGAGCTCAAGTTGGATGAGTTACGCGTAGTAAATCGTAGGTATTATAAGGCTAGTAAATGACGAATTTCCCTTGTTTATTGATGTCACAGTCCTCCCTATTATCTACTCCTGATACATACGCATGGGTGTTCGTCGGTTTGTATTCTACACCAGGAAAGTGCTTTCGTTGAAATAAAATCTCATTTCATGCTTGACATCCCAACTCGTTTTGACGATCACCCCCCGAAGTCCCGAATATCGTGACCGTACGTCAAGCGGTTAAGATTTGTGCCCAACTGTTGACGGACGGACGCACGCACGCACGCTCATGCGATTCTACAGTACAACTACAAGCTCTAGTACTATAGCCCGCTTACATTGACTAGCGGCAGTCAATGTAAGCGGGCTATAGTACTAGAGCTATACAACTACAAGCTGCATCTGACTATGTCACTGTCAGATGAGCTAAAAATGCACTAACTCACAAGTTAACAGTTATCTTAACTGTCTGGCTCTCGATTGTTCAAAAGAATATGAACACAATTTTTACTCTAATACTAGATAGATTGTATATTCTTCTTAATTTCTATACCAGAACCTTGTAGTTGTAACTTTTCATTCGCAGCGTCCTGCAACTTGTTGCCACGTTTCACTGTTCTTGTGTCTTAGGAAAAACGACCCTTGATGAACCCTTGAGCGAATGCAGCAACACTGACAAGCAATTAAGAACTGTTTTTGTTTTTTTATTGCACTGACGGTGACGAGCTTGCAAGCTCACGTTGGTATATCTTTTTACCAATGTACCGTATTTAAATAAATAAATAAACAAACAATAACGGTTTGCTATTATTATTTTACAGACGAAGTTGGCACCAGTCAATAACGCACATCTTTAGGGGCGACACCGCGCGGCAACACTCGTAAATTTGCTAACTGTACTAGAGCTAGGCAAACCCATAGGGCAAACCTCTCATCATGATGTAATTTTGGAATAAAATTGGTAATAGGTAATTTTGGAATAGACAAGTATTGAAGTAAGTCTGTCTAGAGAGGAACATGGGAGTCCACGGACTATGGGAATTGATTCAGTCGACTGGTCGACCTGTCAGCCTTGCTTCACTTGAAGGCAAGATTCTTGGTGTTGGTATCCTTTCAGTGATCACGTTTAACTAGAGTAGGTATAACGCAGATGGGGTCGTTGTCGTATCAGGTACTACAGATATGTACCCGAGGTAGTTGTAGGTTGTTTAGTATTATGTTTATATTGTTATATGCGGTATGTTTAGGGTTAGGGTTAGGGTTGTAAGGTGTCTATACTGTCACCTACGAGTCGAAGCCATTCTACAGGAGACGTATACAGGCTTCGACCCAGGATTCACGGCAAGCCAGGCAAGGCCACGGCTGCCAGCGTATATAAGGACCGCCTGGGATTGACTAGGGGTGCTTCATTCTACCAGACGACCAGGAGAACCGACCGTGTAAGGATCAACCCTTACATTTTGGCGCAGTCGACAGGATTCGAACCTGTGCGGGGAGACCCCAACTGATTTCCAAAATGTAAGGGTTGATCCTAACACGGTCGGTTCTCCTGGTCGTCTGGTAGAATGAAGCACCCCGAGTCAATCCCAGGCGGTCCTTATATACGCTGGCAGCCGTGGCCTTGCCTGGCTTGCCGTGTATCCTGGGTCGAAGCCTGTATGTGAATCCTGTAGAATCCCGTAGAATGGCTTCGACTCGTAGGTGACAGTATAGACACCTTACAGGGTTAGGGTACACTTCTGTAGTACAAGTCTGGTACACTTTGTGTATACATATATATGTACCTTGGGTACATATGATCTGTATCTTGTATCTTGTATCTTGGGGTCCCTCTCTTGTATTTCACAATTAAGGCACTGATTCTCTCTTTGGAATGTGCGGGGAATTTATTCGTATTCTTCTTATTCCTTCTTCATATTTCTTATTCCTTCTTCA